TGCTGACCCCTTTTATTGAGGAGAAGCTATTTAAATGAGGCAGGGGGTCAGGTTTCAGGAGGCTGAGTCTATCTTCATGATGTCCACTGTCAGCAGGTTGACTGACATCTGGGTAGGCCACACCCAAGGGCACAGTAAGAGGAGGGGACACACACAAGGCACTTCCATGGAAGCTTCTACCCTAAACAGGGCAAGGGGTTATATTACAAAGGAACAGGTGAGCATAGCTTCACCCATGGGGCTATAGCAAGACACACCCATGCACGAGACACAAACCCTCGAACTCAAGAAGGGTGGGGGAAGCTCTGCCACATTTCTGTGACTGAGCGCCTCAGCACCCAGCGGGGGAGTGTGACTCAGTCACTTGCAAGGTTGGTCTCCAACAGGCTTTCCCTCTCTATTCTAATATGTAGGGAGATTTTAGGGGCTGGAATATCTCTCAGGCCAAAGAGACACAATGGCCTTGGGACAGAGATTCTATGGATTTAGAATTCTGAGCTGCAGAGTACTCTTTTTTTCCTCAGGAGATCAGGTTTAATGGTATTGCCCTCTGGCATACTTATATCTGTCCTCCATAAAGGACATTTGGCCATTCCTCATTTGGCCAGTTAAATTGTAGCAAAACTTTTSCCAAACATTCCCCTTAAGCTTTCCTGGGCCCTGCTTACCTCCTGCTGCTGGCTTCCCCAAGAGAGACAAGTTCTTCCTTTAGGGACTAATCTCTTTCTTTCCTGTCAGTTCTACCAATTGCTCTTCTATCTTATCCACAGAACTCACCTGGCACAAGGGCAGTAGCAAGTTTATCTCTGAGCACAGGAAATTGGGGTCAGCAGAAACAAGGAGCTGAAATTCCTCAGGAAGGATTCTTTCTCATCTTCTCCTGCAGCAAAGGAGAAAAGGCCTTTTCTCCTGCAATTCTTTTCTCCACAAGGGCCTCTGTTGGGTCACACATCAGTATGACACTCCTGTTAATAGCTACAGAGTGGGAAGTTCCAGAGAGAGAGGTGATTGCTTTGTGAACCTCTTGACTTCTCTCATACTGTATCATTTTCTCTTCCTTTTCTCTTCTCATGACCTTTTCTATTTCACGTTTTCCTCTTCTGTTTGGAGATTTCAGTTCTCATTTTGTATCATATCCTCCTGAAATGTGAAAGGACAAGTCTTCTTTCATTTTCCAGGAGAGCTTTCCTCCTTGATATAACAGTGACCTACCAACTCCATTATCTCTAACTTCCCCACCCATGCTCCTAATAGCCTTTTCTTTTTCCACAATTTTTATTGGTGCCTTATATGATGGAATTTGTTATATATTCAAACATGTACACAATATAATTTGGCCAATATCACTCTCCAGCAAGACTTAAAGCAGGAGGATTAAAGAGGGAAACACAACRTTATTGGAGGGAACTTGACTTTGCTACTGAGGTTGGAAGTGCAGAGTAAAAGAAGAGAAGGGAAAGGCTGATTTCTCTCCAAATGGTAGGATCTTCTTTTACAGAACATTTGAGCCATGGGGAAATTTCTGGGAAGAAAGTCATAAAATCATAACTAGGTGTTGATTATTTAATATCCCAATACAAGAAAKACCCCCAGATTTAGATTCATATCTCTTTTGATTTGAGTGAAAAAAAATTTGATATTATTTTGCTTCTGCTCTTATAATAACAATGTCTGTTGCAAGTTTGATTTTATAGATATTTGAATAGTTTTCTCATCTCTAATTTCAAGCAGTTTTCAAATACCATGTGAAGGATTTTTGTTCTATTGAAAATTAGGAAASAAAGTTAAGTTTATTTTTCTACACATATTTATGAGTTTTTACTACAAAATCTTAAACTCCAGAGTGATTTCTTTTTCTGATTAAAATTTTGTCTTTGGAATCTTTCCTATTAAACTTGTTTATCTTGCTGTTTATTTGTATATGAAGATTTATGTGGGGCTGGGGTTGTGGCTCCGTGGTAGAGTGCTTGCCTCACACATGTGAGGCATTGGGTTCCATTCTTTAGCACCACATAAAAATAAAAGCAACAAAATAAAGGTATTTGTCCATCTACAACTTAAAAAAAATTTAAAAAAAGATTTATGTAAGTAAAATATCAACTTCCTAAAGTAAGACTTCTAAGAAAAGGGGMCACTTCTAAACTTTTATCATTATATTTCTTATTTTGTGCCTCAATCTTATTCTGATAACAATGTGCCTAGTTTAAGAAATTAAATGGTGCAGCCTCTCTTGTTTTTAGGAGTCGTTACTTGACACACTTAYGTGAAAGCAATAACACAAGTAGGTCATAGGTTTGCCTCTTTTTGCTGACTGAAGCTTTTGCTGTCATCTTCAGATAATWAGGTGGCCTTGAGAAAGGAAATATATATTAAGAAGGATTCCTGAAAACTGCAGAAGAGCCAGGGTGCCCAATGATGTCTTAGAACTGCTTTCTCCAGGTTGCCATAGACCTCTTAGAAGTATTAATAAGACAGAGGTGAGGGGGGAGAAACCAGACATCTAACCACTATGTCTTGTTACTTGAGCTTCTATTCTAGGTTAGCTCAATCTAATCTTAATACACATGATAATTCTGGGTCRTTGGATAGAAGCTGAGTTTCCTTTTTGTTTCTAACACTTTGGTGGGTAATAAGTGGAGTAGCTGCAATATTTGATCAAAAGTTATCATTTATTCCTTAATAATTATTGCTTAATAAAAAGTTAGTATTATTCCACAATAATTACTTTTTATTAAGTAATACAGTTCCTTAAATCCTGGATTCTTCTTTGGAGATAGTTGAATTTTCATTWAAAAAATGGATCTGTTTTTATTAAGATGATTAAATGTATATTTTGACAAATAAATGACTTATTTGAAAGGGGTGAGGATTTAAGATACATTGTTATAAAAAACACAGATAAATAGTGGGTAGGTATACAAAGCAYAATTATTTAAACTTTTAATGAAAACTGGTGCTTATGCTAGTGATAAGCAGGGGGCTCAGGGCAGAGACAGATATAGATAGAAGTTCCTGGGGAAAACATTCCTGTTTGGGAAGGTTCATTAGCGATTCATGTGACTGCATGGTATTTCCCTCCATTGTTTTTCTTTACTTCTCTTCCAAGCATTAAGAATGAAAATTGCAAAGTCAGAGTTTGCAGCTACAGATCACTTATCCCTGTACATAAAGAGCTGCTTCTGAGAGAAATACAGTTACCAGGGTCCTAAATGTCCACTTCTCTACAAAATGCCCACATGGAAAAGTCTCTGAGAAKCTCTGCAAAGATACCATTATAAAGGTTATCCTAGCTGCAGCAGTATTCATTTCTTATGCACAGAGTAGCAGGGAAGCTTAGGTAGGTGGTGTCTAACAGCATTGCTCGAAGTTATGTATTCATTCCTAGACATTAGTTTTCTAAGTTCCACTCCCAAATTAGAAGTAACATAYATTTTTATCATGGAAAATTTAGACAGATGTTAACATAAAAGAGGAAATAAACAATCTAAGTTACCCACATCCTGACTCTATGTAAAATTATATAATAATGTTTTATGGTCTTCCTTTTTCACTCAGTACATATTTTACATATTAAATATTTTCATGTATTTTCATATAATTTGTGTAGTTTTTCTCCCAACAYAGCTGAGAAGAAATTCCTTTGTGTTATCTTACACTCATTTGTCCTCCACAAATCCTGCTCTTTGGTCAGCATGGCCACATSGTGCTGAAGGCAGACCCAGAGGACTCAGCCATAGTTCCCAGGAGTGGACACGTGGTACAGCAGAAAGCTGACTGAACTCCTAGTCRGAACTAATTCCTTCACTTACTGAACATGACCTTCGACAATGTATTTGCTTTCTTTGAGTCTCATTTATAAAATAAGTATGGAAATATCTAACCTACTTAAGTGACGGAAACTGCAAAATTTAACTGAGCATCTATGTGAAAGTGTTTCATAAATGCAAAGGGTTTTAAAATGAAAGACATGAATAAAGTTAATTGAAATTGGTTCCATACACAATATGTATAAGATGGTATTCTGATTCATCTCATTTATTCATCTCAGCCACTCTCTGACATATTATTATTAGCTCTATTTTTTTTTTGATTAAACAATTCAAGGCAAAAAAGCCAAATAATTTAGATTTKAAATCAACCTACCTGATTCCAAAGTGCTGGCCCTTTCCTTCTTTAGTGGTAGAAAGTGTGGTCGMAGCTAATAAACTTCATGATTCATATTTAAAAGTAAAAAATGCTGACTGTCTATTTTCATTTCCCTTGAGGAAACCACTAACCAGMACAGTTATTTTTAAATGTTACCATATTGTGCTCTTTCTAAAGTCTAAAAGCTGAGGGGGAAAAAACTTCTATCCTTTTTATTGCCATCCCTAATMCTCTTTTTCTCTTCCCCTCTTTCTCTCTCAAGGATATAGTTTGGATTTGGAAAAATACAGTATGTTAATTTGTAGTGTAAAYAATTTAGTATTATGGAAAGTACTGTGAACCAATCATAATATTTGGAATTATAAGACAAAACTGTTGAAAAGCTAGTGGCTGCATAAAGATATTAACTTAGTGATCAAAGTCAAGGAATTGTGATATTATAGTGGAAATATTGCCAGTTGTTCTTCTTGAGGTCTTTTCTGATCAAGCTCAGGAAATTAAATAATCACATTCCCTGGAAAGGGATGTAGAAATAGGAAATATCYCATGGGGTTGTATAAGTGAGAAATATATGTCAGTTTCTGTAGTAAGAYTGAATGAGGAGTTTGACAACTTCTTATATCAAAGGAGCAAATATTTCTCCTTCTGAAATGTTCATGCCAAAATTTACAAATGMATTCCTGCCTTTTGAACTGAATAATCATCTCTTTTTCAAGATACTGTTTTAAGACAAAAAGCCCTAAAAGTAGAATTGCTACATGCATGTAATATTCCCATATCCTGAATTTTCTGAGACAGTTCTGTTTTGAATTAGACGATGAATCTTAATTTAAGTTGGCAAAATATTTTCATAGGAAATCTTTATGAAGATTTGATTGAGATATTATTTTATAACCAAAAAATAGGGGTAACTATAATGTCCAAAAGGAGAATTGGTAGTAAATGGAAAGAGGATATTGGAGTGTTCWGTAACCTGTACTAATTCTATAAGAGATTATTTTGTGGTGGTGGTATTMATTTTTCTTACATTTCTCCTCCTAAAAATTACTTTTCTTACTCCTTTAAAAAAGAATTCTTAGTTCCTTGGAAGTAAAGCCCTCCTTCTAGGAAAATGTTCACCTCACCRCATAAAAATTCACAACTCATATCATATTTGCTCAGTGGAATATTATGATTACTAAAAGCAATAACTATAAAATTTGCTATAATATGGAAACAAATTCCACATTATATTAAACAAAACACATATAAATAAAAATAGCTACATTAGATTGAATTCTGGATGCTTTTCTCCTTTAAAAGTTTTTCTTAATTTGTTTTCACAGTTTCAACAACAAATAACAATGAATAGTCATTTTTTTGAGCTTTTGCAATTTATCCCCAAGTAAGTAATTTCCCTGTTTGATACTTAGGAGAAAATATTCTATTATCTAAAACTCAAAGGATCCATGAAGTTTTTAGTGATTCCTCATTTAGGTAAAAAAATTAAGTGCCCAGGACACTGTATTTCTAATAATTCCAACTGATGTTGCTGTACATAAAATTAGAAGCTTCTCCTTAGAGGCTTAGAAAAAGGTAATATATAAATAAAACAGCATACATTTAGATATCATTAGGCTAGAATATTTTATTGTCCCATAAAAATTTTAATAAATCATTCAAGGGCTTAYTTATCAGGAATGACCATATAATAAAGGCACATAGGGTAAGAACCACAATCAAGAAACTWTATTTTCCTCCTTTTATTTATAATCAACTAACAAAACAAACCAAATGACATACTTATAATTTTATTTATCTCATAACTATAAATTTATATTATCAAATAGAACAGAAGAAGTTTTTTACATATAAATCATATGAAAACTATCCAGAAAACACCCAATATGTACCTTCCTCAGTTAATATACACAAGTTTCAACAAGAAGCCACAGGCACCCATTTATCTATGTAATCTGGCCACTTTAATTCTACAAAGGGGCCTACAGATGTTTAATTTCATAGCTAATATAGTAAATATCACTATTCACATTTGTAGATGTGGATAACTATATAATTCTTAATACATCTTGTTTGACTATACTGACCTGATCATACAGAAACAATCCAATAGACCTCAGATTATGTTAGGAATCCCCATAATTTTCCTCATGGCTGCCTTTATTTCCTTATTTCGGAGGCTGTAGATGAGGGGGTTAAATAGTGGAGTCACCATAGCATAAAACAATGTTGCAACTTTCTGCATCCCARCAGAATGTCCCAGTCCTGGGCTCACGTACATGACCATCAGAGAACCATAGAACAGCGATACCACGGCCAAGTGAGACCCACAGGTGGAGAAGGCTTTATGTCTTCCAGAGGCTGAAGGCATACGTAGCACAGCTATCAGGACCAGAGTATAGGACCCAAGAATAAAGAAAAAGTTACCAAAGATAACTAATGAGCTTAAAGTGTAGCACAGCATTTGAGTTCCTGGGGCTGTGGCACACGCTAACGAAAAGAGTGGCCCTGGATCACACACAACATGGTCAATAGTGTTTGGTCCACAGAAAGGCATTTGAGAGATGAGGGCAATGGGAATTAAGAACCACAGAAACCCACAAACCCAGCAGATAATGACCAGTTTGATACAGGAATTCCCAGTCATGATATTAGGGTAGTGCAGGGGACGGCAGATAGCTAGATACCGATCAAAGGCCATGACAGTCAAAAGCAAGCATTCAGATGTACCCAATGAGAAAAAGAAATAGAACTGGAGGAAGCACCCAGCAAAGGAGATGGTTTTTTTCTCTGACAGGAAGTTGACCAACATCTTGGGGACTGTAGAAGAGACATACCAGATCTCTAGAAAGGAGAAATTCCCCAGGAACATGTACATGGGAGTGTGAAGTCGCTTGTCACACAACAGTGCACAAACAATGGTCCCATTTCCAGTTATGGTGAACACGTAGGTTGTAGTGAAGAGAGAGAAGAGGAAGATCTGAATCCTCCACTCACAAGAGAAACCTTGGAGTATAAATTCTCTTACAGAAGCAAAGTTGGACTCTGGCTCAGAGATATTCATTAGGTCAGTATGCTGCAAGGTCAAGAGACATATTACTAATAGTTTAAAATGTGTCTCTTTTTAATGAGTAAAGAGACAAAAACAAACATGGATCATTTTTTAAAAGAATTGTCGAAATATATCATACTTTAATTTTTTTTCTTCGTTGCATACACTGATTTTTAAAAAAATACCAGTTTTCCACACAAAAACAAATGTTTGCCTGTTCTAAATTTCTTCCTATGTGACCACAGTTGAACTAGATAAAATTAAACTCATTTTGTAAGTCTGTTATTTTGGGTCAGGAATGATCTGTATAGTTTCTGGCAAACATGTAACACAAAAATTGACCCTTAATAAAAGTACTTGTTTCTTAGCCCAAATCCTACTTATAGTATAATATTTATAGTTCAGTTAAATATATTACTTAACTTTATTTAAATTTTCTTAGCCCAAATCCTACTTATAGTATAATATTTATAGTTCAGTTAAATATATTACTTAACTTTATTTAAATATGCAGAAATGAACATATTTTATAGTAAGTGAGTAGAAATCACCTTAAAGCCATTATTCCTGAATTTCCATGGTTGCAATTAGCTTGAGCACCATAAAACTGCAATTTTATAAAGTTACTCACCAATACTGACTTTTGATATTGTAATGTTGCAAGATCTTCTGAAGAAAAAGAGTCTGTAAGCTTTTGCCTGATCTTTCACTTTGTTTCATAGGCTGATAGATTTCCTATATTAACACAGCAATGTTATATTTATTTGGTCAATATGTGCAGAAGTTTGAAAAATAAGATCCAAGCATGGAACTTCCTTTTTWAAAGTATTTTCTTTCCCCTCATAGAATATTGGGGTTGATTTTTCTCATATGCCTGTGTAAAACAAAAATTTCTAATAAATAAGTCAAATATTTTCTTTTGTCATAAATTTCCTTCATCCCACATTTTATGAGAAAGATGTCAGGGATTTGTTACATGAAAAAAAAGACTTTTAAAAATATACAGGGATATGAGTCCTGAAAGTTGTKAGGGCTTATATTTTAGGCAAAAGAAAATTTTCAAGAGTTTTTCCTTCCAGCCTTGTCTGCACACTGATGCTCAGGGAAGTCCTCAAGAGAAAGCTATATTTATTTGTCTCTTCATTATAGGTATCTCTTTTTAAAATACTGTAAACCAGAAGCATTCATAAATCAATTTTAAGAAATTATGGAATAAGAGGAGAATGACTTAGAGGTGTCACAACCTTTAGCAGTACCCCCAAAATGAAACCATCACAGTTTGGATATAACCTAAATCTTAAAATGACTTCTTTTATAATCACTAGATAATGACTTTTACTGCTGCACAAAAATTAAGAATGTGCTTTCTTTATCTCATATTCTCTTGGGACTTGGCCTCTGTAGCATTAGGGAAAAACTTCTCTTCCAAGCCAGTGGGTCTTTAAGAAGCTAATGATTACACATTCTTTGAGAAACCAGTAGAGATGGGAAACTTCTTTAAGGTACCATTGACTTACAAAGAGCATGACCATTTGGAATACAGAACCTAGAAACTTCTAGAAGAYATAGTTTGAGGAAAAATGAGACACACAATACATTCCCAAATGTTCTGACATGAAGTTGAGAAACTATTCATAATCTCTGTTGTTCCATATACTGAAGGATACAGAACTCAATGAGATTTTTTTTAATAGCAGGGATTGAACCCAGGGGGTGCTTAATCACTGAGCCACATCCCCAGTCCCCCTTTTACTATGTTTTACTTATTTTATATTTTATTTAGAGACAGGGTCTCGCTAAGTTGCTTGGGGCCTTGCTAAATTGCTGAGGCTGGCTTTGAACTTGCAATCCTCCTGTGTAAGTCCCTGGGATTATAGGTATGTATTACGTGCCCTGGCAAGAAAATGTTGAGTTACAAACATTGTAGGGTATTAAATGAAAATTTATAGGATTTAGAAAAAGCACTTAGCATGATAGGATTCTTTAGATATGAAAGGTAAGTAGAAGAAGTATTAATATTTAAATTACTTGAATKGCTTCTCAGCATGAGAAAAGTATTTACTTCATTTTTTATGTGACAACTGTTTTATTTTTATTGCTCTGATTGCTTCTGGTCATTACTGTTACAAACCCAATTTCTTCTTTTCTCTCTATACAAATGTCCTGTGTAACATACTCTGTTCATATTCTTTTTTCCTTACTTTAAAAACCAATTCAGGAATAGATTCCCTTATAACCCACCACCCCCAATTTTTCCTTGCTAACCCTCACTACCAAAATATTTATTTTTGTCATTTGTCTTTTGTTCTGGGATTAGGATGCCTTTGTGTCAGACAATGACAATGAGGGTGGGGAAGTTAAATTAGAACCAAGTGCTTTGATGAGGGAAGGATGATAGGCATTGCACAGAAGATTTTAGGACTGTGAAACTATTCTGTATGGTGCTATATTGGTGGATACATGCCATTACACATTTGTCAAAACCCATACAATGTACAACACAAGAATRAACTCTAATGTAAACTATGAACTTTTTGGTTTTGGTGGTGGTGCATTGTGGCATATTCATACATGCAAAAAGTATTTAGTTTTTATTAATTAGTGTCCCTTCCATTTCTACCTTATGTAATTCAAGGTTTACGTAGTATGACTAAAACACCAGGTGGTAATGAATGCTCAGACCAAGTGGTATAAAATACCGAGGACATCAGCAATGCACACCCTAGGAACACTTGTTTCTGTACAAATCTGATGAAAATGAATAAAAATGTCTTYATTTCGACATTTTTAGGAAAAGATTATTTAGACCTTTATTACCTCTTACTCAATCTACCTCACTCCCTAATAACTCTTCAAATGTAGCTTTGATCTTATTTATTTGCCTGCTCAAAAGGCATCAACAGACCTTGGCCCAGAAGAGCGCGCCTGCCAACTCAGTGATTCAGGATGATGAGGTAGGAGGATCATTAGTTCAAGGCCAGCCTTAGTGATCCTGTCTAAAAGTAAAAAGGGGTGGGGATGTAGCAAAATGGAAAGTGTCCYCCTGGGTTCAAGCCTCAGTACTTAAAAAAATACAATAAAATAAAATGAAAATATAAAAACAGTGGTGTCATTATTCACAAAATAAAGTCCAAATTTCTTAATTCTCCATAATTGATTTATTACTCCATTTTTTTTTTTTTTACTTTTCTTGTGAGATGATATCTCATTGTAATTCTGGTTTGTATTTCCCTGATAGTTAATGATGCCCAAGCTTTTTTTTCATATACTCGCTGGCCATTTGTACATTTTTTTTTTAAGAAATGCATATTCAGATGCCTTGCCCTTAAAAAAGAAACAACTAACAGGAATTGAACTCAGGAGCTCTCAAGTGGCCCTGAGCCACATCCCCATCCCTATTTTGTATTTTATTAAGAGAKAGGGTCTCACAGAGTTGCTTAGCACCTTRCTTTTGCTGAGGCTGGCTTTGAACACATGATCCTCCTCCCTCAATTATAGACGTGTGACACTGGGCTTGCTCATTTTTAAAACATCAGATTATTTGATTTTTTTCTATTCCCACATCCCTTATATGGCTTAGAAATATTCTTTCCCTTCCAGATRTTACCTTTTCCTTCTGTTGGTTTTCTTGCTATGCAGAAGCTTCTTAGTTTCATTTAGTCTCACTTGAAATGAGACAGGATTGAGCTTCCTGTGATGGGTCCTGGAATGGTGAGGAAGCCGAATGCCTCCTTCCAACTCACTTCCACTGTAGAAACCGCTGGTCCAGGGGAATTGTCCATCTGTGGTACTACATTGGYTTGGGGGAGGGCTGATGTGGTCAGAGAACCTTCCTCTTTCCATGTTTTTTCCCAGCTCTGCAATGAAGAGGGTGTGTCTGTCACCCTTGAGCTCTGGGATATTCACAGAGGCATTCTTGACTGTGGATATTTGCTAGCTGGGTTKTTTAGAAGAGAGTGGAACCAAAGAACTTCTATTCTTCCATCTTGTTGATGTTACTCTCATCCTTAACGTTTATATTAAAATAAAAAGTGATTCACTCACCACCAATATAGTATTAGAACAATAGGATTTTGATGATATACTTGCCTTTATAGTTAGTTAGTATGTTTTCATGTTTTAAATCAGGGCCATTTGAACTTGAAAAAATGTCTTTTAGTCACATGGAGGGGTAATAAAACTCCCATAGCTTTTGTTTGTTTACCGGTTTTCAGTATTTGAAGGGTGATTTTGCCTGGTATAGTCTTCTTAGTTGGCAGGGTCTTTTGTTTGTTTGTTTTCTTTTTTTAATATTTACTTTTTAGTTTTTTTMAGTGGACACAATATCTTTAGTTTATTTTTTTATATGGTGCTGAGGATCGRACCCAGTGCCTCACGCATGCCAGGAGAGTGCGCTACCACTTGAGCCACATCCCCAACCCCTATTTGTTTTCCATCTAGTATTTTAAATCTCCTCCCACTTCCTACTGACCTGCAGATTTTCTCCTAAGAAAATTTTGATTTGGTGGTTCCCTTTGTGAGGAAACACACTCACCTGTTCAAGCCCAAAGAATGGGTTAAAAGACACAAGTTACAGCAAAAGCCAGGYTTTACTTCAATGCTGGTCTTTCAAGATCAGGTGCCTGGAGGTCAGAGATCCTCAGATTGGGTACAACCAGTGTTTTATTTCCTACAGCACAAGATCCCTTTCCCAGTTCCTCACTGGTTGAGTACTATGGAGTACACAATCTTCTGGAATGTTGCCTAGGTTTTACTGTCTCCTATTGAGTAATTTAAAGAAATCTACCTTTTCTTGTCCTTACCTCTCTTTGTTCTCTGTGGTAAGAAAGTCCCCTGGGATCAAGCACCATTTGGCAAGTACACTGTTTATCTCCATTGGTCAGGTGGGGGGGTGAAGGGCCTTTCTTCTCACCTTCTGTTTTTCAAAGAGCTGTGAATTTTTACACTCTGCTGTTAACAGCTTGAAACTTTCCATTCTGTTCTCCCCTCCAGATACCTTTCTTATATCACAAGTTTTATATTATATCACAAGTTTTTTT